CAAAAAAAAGTTTTTTGTGGGGCCAGGGATTTAGCTCAGTGGTTGCGCCGCCTGCCTCACAAGCACAAGGTCCCGAGTTTGATCCCCAGTGCCAAAAAAATATACAGTATATTATCTATAGTCACCTACTGTGCAATAGAACACCATAACTGTAAGAATATATTCACCAACCTTTCCTCATCCCTTCCTCCTCCCTGTTCTCCCTAACCTCTGGTAACCAGTATTTTACTGTCAGCTTCTTTGAGATCAGTATTTTCAGATTCCACATGAGTGAGATCATGCAGTACTGTCTTTCTGTGCTGGCTTATTTCACTTACCATAATATCCTACTTATACTCATATAGTGTCACAAATGACAGAATTCCAACCTTTTTATGCCTAAATAGTATTCTCTGTGTATGTATGTATAAAGTCTTTCCTTCCTCCTTTCCTTTTTTCCATATCTCCCTCCTTCCTTCCCCCCTTGAATTCTCTCACCTGTCCCTCTATTTTGTACATTAAATATCACTATCTGTATGGTTTCCTGAGACAGAAAAATGGAAATCATTCTTAACTTCTCCCACCACCATCTGAGTGTATTTTTGTTTTTTACCTGCAGTACTGGCAGTTGAACCTAGGGCTTTTGTAATGAGCTGTATCACCAGGCATTATTATTATTGTTACTATATTTGAGACAAGGCCTTACTAAGTTGCCCATGCTGAGCTCAAACTTGTGATCCTCTTGCCTCAGCCTCCAAAAGTGCTAGGATTACAGGCCTGTGTCACCACTTCTGGCACAGAGTGATGTTTCTAAGAAACATATCTAATCACATTATATTTATACTTCTTGAATAGTCTTCCACATAAAAGTTGCTTAGCATGGGCCGGGGATTTAGCTCAGTGGTTCCGCCACCTGCCTCGAAAGTGCAAGGTCCTGAGTTCAATCCCCAGTACCAAAAAAAAAAGTTGCTTGGTGTGGTGCATAAAACCCTTCATGTCATAGCTCTGTCTACCCCTTAAGCACTATTTGTCATCCGTTCCATCCTCTCTGTATTTGTTTCAAATCTTGAAACCTTGTCTGAGCTGTGCTGTGGGGAATTAAAAGTAGGCTTTGTCTTGGGTAATACACAACAGGCCTGACTGTTAACAGGGAAACATCTCTCCTCCTGAGGCTACTTGGTAGCAGCACTAATTAGGTGGAGAATAGAATCCCTTTGGGAAGATGACTTTCCCAGCATGAATTAAGACTCTGAGGACTAGGCCTCTTTCCTTATGAAGATTTTGCTTCTGTTGCCAAAGTTGGAGGTTTAAGGTTTAATGTTCATCAAGGAAAGTATGTGTTTGTGTATGTGTGTGTGTGTGTTTCTCACAGACAGACCACCAAAAAAGTGTATACACACTTCAGCAGTTTGCTATACTAATGTCTAGAAGCTAATAACCACTACTCTGAGCACCTCTTGTAATTGTAGAGGCCAAAGGTAACTTGTATTAATCTCATGATGTCTCAATAAATTTAGTATTAAAATATTTATACAAGCTTTTTCTCTGATACATACATTTTTGATGGACTCTATATATGTATGTAAATAATATATATATGATGCAGTATATAAGTATATATAATTATATATATATTTAGGTTCTTTTCTCATTAATCCTACCAATCAATTGCTACTCAAGTGACCTTCCTGGGCCAGCACTTTTATCACTAAGCTATATCCTCACCCCTCTCAAGTGACGTTTCTGAAATACAGTACAACTATTATTATGTCTCTTTTTGCTTAAAGCCCTATTAATTTAAAATAATTTTATACATTAATTTTAACATTTTATAAGTTGTATTTGACAGGTATTTCTGTTAGATTTAAACATGGGGTGTGGGATTTGAGTTTTGCTAATTTTAATTGTCTTTCTTGTTTATTTTCAACTTTGAAAGGTTTATTTCCGAGAAAAATTTTAAGGTATTAGCTGTGCATGGTGTTGCTTGTCAAAAAGAAAAGTTAGTTTGATGGGCATCAGAAATATTGGCTCCATTATATAAGTTTACCTATAAAAACTAAACACTATTTGGCAGGTGTGGTAGTAAATACTGATACCAATGAACCCAGCTAGAGATGAGGCTGAGACAGGAGGATCACGAGTTCCCAGGTTGAATCCCTCGTACTAAAAAAGAAAGCAGTATTTTTGGACATTTAGTTATGTCAGTAATCATTGAGATCCTTCATTCTGAAATCATCTACTTCTATATTCAGTGTAGGTTATATCCCTGAAATGTTATCTAGGCATATGCCCCAATACCATTCTGAATTGAAGTTACTTCTCCTTTGTAGTGTAATCGAAGTCTTGTGTGCGATGTTTTGTGATGTTGGGGATGAAACTCAGGCCTTTGTGCATGGTAGCCAAGCACTCCACCCCTGAGCTATATCCCCAAGACTACAATATATATATTTTAGAATAGCAGAAAAAGAGATACTTGAATCATACCCTTTGTAGTTCCTTAGAAGGAAACGTGACTAAAATCTTTTTTCCTCGAGGAAAGTGACAAATTGAATCTTGATTTTGAGAAGTAAGTAGATCCTTCTGTAACATGTGCCTTGGGGAAATTAGTTTGTTTCTATTAAACTCTTAGTTTGTTCATTTATTTTTATTATAGGTGATGCAAAAAGTTTTTGGATGGAGCTAGAGGATAATGGAAAAGTGGACTTCATATTTGAAAAAGTACAAAATGTGCTGCAGTCACTGAAACAAAAGATCAAAGATAGATCTGCCACAAATAAAGGTTTGAAGGAATAAAACACTTTTCAATAAGCTTAATCTTAATTATAACAATACTGTTTTTTATTAAAAGTCAAATAATTTCTTTGTTTTGTAAAAACCTAATATCTTCTTTGTTGTTTTTGTGCTCTGCTTCTGTGTGCTCTGCTTCTGTGAAAATTTGCTTTTACCCTACCATGGACATCTTGTAAAAGTAGATGAATCTAAGTATTTGTGAATAATAGCTACTGATTTTACTTCTTTTTATCTCAGCCTACTATTTTTTTAACCTTTGTGTCTTTGGGAGGGAGGGGAGATGTTGGCCAAAGTAATATCTGCTCATTGTATAGTATTTGGCATATATAAAAAATATTAACAAAGAAAATTACTCATTACCTCATGATTGAGACAACTTGTTTTTTCCTGTACAGAGTCCACCAAAAAATGTATACATCAAGAAAAGAAAAACTTGCATAAATACTTTAATACCTAATTTATTGTTGGGAAATGAGAAGAAAGTGTTCAAATGGGAAGGGGAACAAGGGAGGCGGGAGGGAGAAAGGAAGGAAGCAATAAGAAAAAGTGAAAATAGAAGGAAAAAATGGAAACAAAGCTTTTGTATATAGGGAGGGCTTTGAGGGGGGGAATGGTATAAAATTTATTTGTAAAATAAAATAAATTTATTGAGGCATCATGAGATTAATACAAGTTACCTTTGGCCTCTATAATTAAAGAGATGCTCAAGGTGGTAGCATTAGCTTCCAGACATTTATTACTATAGTGAACTGCTGACATGTGTATACATTTTTTTGGTGGACTCTGTATATAAGCTAAGTGTGCTTATTAGCATGCAGGAGGTCTTGGGTTCAATCATACCAAAAAAATTTTAATGCCCCCAAAATACATACAACTGTATTTTGCCTGCTTTGAACAGAACTTGTTCTATTAGTCTTCTGAATAGGAAACTTATGTCCTACAGAAGATAGTTAAGTCATTCAAGTTTGTTTTTGTTTTTGTTTTTTTGTCTTCAAGCCTGCTTGGTTGCAGGATGTAAGATTTTAATGAGGAATCATCCTTTGGTGTGTCAGGACATACAGTTTTAAAGCAAGATTTTCCCCAAACTATTAATACTTTCTGGTAATATTTCTGTTTTTTGTTTTTTTTTTTTGGTACCGGGGATCGAACTCAGGTCCTTGTGCTTGCGCAGCAGGCGGCGAAACCACTGAGCTAAATCCCCAGCCCAATATTTCTGTTTTTATGACAATCTATTATGTTTTCATTTTTTAAAGTACGATTTTCATTTTAATATTCCTTCCCAGTCTTTCATGAATCAGATAAGTTTGAGTCCAGTCCCACCACTTCTAGCTGGATTACCTAGAATAAACAGCTTCTTTAATATAGATAATCATAAGAACCTCTTAGGAGAGTTGTGAAGATTAAATACGATAAAGTATATAAATTGTTTAGCATAGTAGCTGGTACTGTGAACAAAGATGATGGTGATATTGATTGCTCTCATTTCTTTTCTTAATTTTATTTTTTTGTTAACAGAATACATCCAAGCAATGATCCTAGTGAATGATGCAACTATAAGTAAAAATTCAACATTGAAAAAGAGTATGTACGTTTCTCACTCCAATCCTAGAGTATTCTGATCCTTCATATGTCACATTAATTAATTGTAATTTGAAAGAAAATGTAAGATCCACATTGCTAAGTTCTATTAGTCAGTTTCCTTTATTAAATGAAATTTTACTCATCCCAAGATTGGTAATGCATGTGTCTTCTTCAGATGAAGAGGGGAAATAGAATTCTAAGATTAAACCACTGTAAACCTGCTTTCTATGAAGAACACTAGTAGAAAGGTATATTCTGTTTTAGGTTAAGTTGGTGGATAATTTTTCATGTCTAGATTTTTCTTTAGACCATTAGTCTTCAAAGCTCTAAACAAACTCAATTTAGAAGGTTCAAAGATGACACACTAAAGAACTGTTTTTCTGTTCACAACACCTCTGACACTAGATGTGTAGGTTTTCCATACCAAGCAATTCTCCAATTTTCTGTGGACACCCTTCATGTTCCAAATTTAGTTTGATTGTGACACTAACTACTTAGTTAATGCAGACTCCACAAGTTAAGGGCTCAGACCCATAATGCTTGCCTCCTGCTTCTGATGCCAGTCACAAACCCTGGGCTTCTGCTATTTCTGAGTTGGCTTCAAATCAGTGGTTCCCACAACACCCTTCTCAGGTTCAATAATTTTACTATAATGGCTCAAAGAACTCAAGGGAATGCATCACTATTAGCAGTTTATTATAAAGAGTATAAATGAACAGCCAGATGAAGAGTAAGGAAGGGCAAAGTCTGGAAGGCCCGTACGTGATAGAGCTTATCTACCTGTAGAGTTTTGGGTGTGTGTCACCCTCCTAGCACAGGGATGCTTTCACTAACCTAAAAGCTCTCTGAACCCCATTATTTAGGAATTTTTTGTGGCGGTCTCATTACATAGTCATGAATGATTGGTCATTCCTGATTGGGTCAATTGCCTGCCCCTTTCCACTTTCTGGAGATGGGGGCAGAGGTGGTTAGGGCTGAAAGTTCTAATCCTGTAATCGTGCTTTGGTCTTTCCCGTGACTAGCCACCATCCCAGGAACCCTGTTCACCAAATTATCACATTAACATACAAAAGACAGACTCTCACCACTCTGTAGATTCCAAGGGCCTTAGAGGTTGTTAAGAGGAACTAGGAAGTAATACCAAGTACTGTAATAGTAGATGTTCCTACTACCTCATCACTTAGGAAATCAGTGTTTTAGGTACTCTGTCTGAAACTGAGGCAGGACAAATATGTATTTCTTGTTATTTGTACCAAGACTGGAAAACTTGAAGTTATTTTATCAGAACCAAAATTCCATAAATCTATCAGAAATTTGCTCCTGTTGAGGCAGTACATTTACCAGATTTTAATGAAAATAGTTGGATATTGGCAAGAGATTTTAGTTGTTTTACTGCTATAATTGGGAGCCTTCCAGCTTTTAAATCTTGAGTCTATTGATCTATTTTAAAGAAACCTTTTGTTTGTAGAAGTATTCTCAATTTCAGTAGCTGCAGTTTCAGAAGAATGCGTTCTTGAAAAAAGTACCCTCTCTTTCATAGCATCCTTCAGTAACATTTGGAATTGTAGGGGGTGAAATCTTTATCTTAGTGGCTAGGGTTGGGGGTCTGTGAATTAAACTGACAAAAGACAAATTACTAGTAGAAAAGGCATACAAGTTTATTAACTTTTAATTTTATGTGCACAGGAGAATCACATAAAGAAGGGAATACCCAAAGCAGTGATGAGATTTGCAGGCTTATTATACCATCCTAATAGGGGAAAGGGAGGAGCAGAGGGGACTTGTGGAAGAACAGATGACTTTTTAGAAGGTGTTGGGGAGAAGAGGCAGTTAGGGGAACACAGATGACTTTTGAAAGCTAAATTGGTCCTGATGTGAGGAATGATAGTTTGTGACAACATCTGGATATGGTACCAACTTCCTCTGCTCGCCTGTGAGGAGTCAGTTTTCCCTGTTCAGAACTCCTAGAGAAGAGGATTTATGACAGTTAAGTTTGGGATTTTTTGTATGTTTTGTGCTTTGCATTTTGTTTCTGAGGATCTGTTTTTAGATAGTTAAGAGTTCAAAGGAAGTCTTTTCCTGCATTTGTTGAGTCTTATATATTTTAGCTAAAAAAAAAAAATCCTTATTCTACTGTGACACATCTGGACTCCTTCAGAACCAACACACCTTAAAGAGATTATATTAGTTTTCCCAGACAGAGGCTTTTAAATGCAAGTAATGGTAATAAGGAACTAATTCTAAGCAACATTTTTCTCTCTGAAACAATTTATTTACCACTAAAAGTATATGTGCCGCCAAAGTGAGCACATTTACCACTAAAGTAAATTGGGGTTTTGTTTTGGGACTTTTAAAGTAATAATTTCATTAATAGAAATGCTAAATATTATTTTTTATATAGTTCATCTGAAATTAACACAGTTATCAAAAGGATATCTATTTGCCAGTTTTTAAGTTACTAGGGGAGAACTACATAATTGACATTGTGTTAGCAAGTATAAAGATTAAAAACTTGTGGTAATAAGCTCTCATGCTAGCATTTATTTTAAAAAGAATACTAAGACTGAGAGAAACAAATGGATTTGGTATAAAGTCAGAACAAGCCCTCTGGGATCCAGTCTGCATTTCCCAGACTCATCAAACTGCTGACGACCTTTCTTTTATTCTCTTAGTTATAACTGTAAATACTTGCTGTGTCCCCATGCAAGATTGGATACTTTTTTCTTGACAGCAATTATTTCTCTATCTTGTAATTTTAAATATCCATGTTTTTCCATAAACCTTATTTCCAACTCTGTTTATGTACATTTGTTTTTCTCATATTCGCTAATATAGATTGATGACTCTGCCAAAGAAATTACCTGGGTAAAATCAGAAATTCTTAATTATATAATTTATTATAATTATTATAGTTTCTTCAACCATAAGATTTTAAACTTTACTTAGGTAATTAAGGGGGAATATTTGTTTTCCAGTGAGCCAAGTAGCCTTGGGTTATTAATTTTAAATGTTCTTTATTAAACTTTTATTGCTGTTTTTAGGAAAACTGAAGCACTTTGCTTCACCAAACTTAACTCAGGCTTCTGAACCTTCTTGGTCCTTCCAAGTACTTCCTTGAAAAATCCAATTTTAGCAAGAACCTTTTACCCCCAATATCCGATCAGAATCTGATTGGGTTCCTCACCCCACCCCCATCTTCCTGGTGATTGTCTGATTACTCTCTATAGCAAAAATCCTGTTAGGCTGGTTAGCTAGAATCCCTTGTATCCTTTATATTTCCTCCTAGCCATTTTTCAACCATTAACCACCACCCTACCCTGCTCTTTGACTATAAATTCCCATTGGCTTGTAACTATTTCAGATTTGAGTCCAGTCTCTCCATCACTGGAATATCTCCTTGCAATGTTCTGTATACCTATCGCAGGGGAGCTGAATAAAGTCTGCTTTACATGTTTCAATAGCTATCATTGAAAATTTTTTCTTTAACAACAATAGTCTAAGGCAGGATAAGAATCCCTTTTTTCCTTAAAGTCCATTGGTGCACATTAAGAAAAGTTTTTAAGCCAAACGGAATATTCCTTTAACCCATAATTTTTTCCTAAAATATACCACTTTATTTCTATGTTATAGATATGTTAGAGGGAAGAATAGTTGAGGGCCGGGGATTTAGCTCAGGGGTTCCGCCACCTCCTCAGAAGCACAAAGTCCTGAGTTTGATCCCTGGTATCAAAAAAAGAAAAAAAGAGTTGAGGTACAGTATACAAACCAGAAAAAAGTAGAATGCATGCCTAGCATGGTTTTATATACCAATCATTGTAAAAAAGAATGAGGAGAAGAGGGGATTAATGGAAGAAAATTATGTGTAAAACGATAATATGAAGAAATAGGAAACGATAAATAGATCAAAACAAGTAACCAAATAGCAAGTTCTTCCTCCCAAAATGGAAGGTTATAGAACAAAGAGCAAACAAAAGATACATACACTTTGTATTTTCTTATCTTGTATAAGCCTTAAAAAACAATGTTTCTTTTCTGAAAAATATAAGCAGAAAGAGGAGCCCAGGGATTTAGCTCAGTGGCACCGCGCCTGCCTCACAAGCACAAGGTCCTGAGTTCTTTCCCTGGTACCAAAAAACAAAGGAAGGAGGGATACTTGTTCATGTTAAGGTTGGTTAAAATTTAGATTACATTCAGGCCAAACTACAGATTTCATTTTCAAAATCTCTTCTAAGCATTTTAATTTATCCTATTTATTATTAAAGCTTTTGAAAATACACAATCTTTTGGCTGTATATTGAAATCTTAATATGCTTGCAAATTTTAGGGTTCCATATGGGCAGAATATCTAGTCGTGAAGATAGTATCTGGATATTTTAGTGAGTGGTGTTTAACTTGGTATATTTGTTACTGACGTGTGTATTTTTTTCATGTAGATCATACATCTGTGACGCAGAGTGAACAGGAAAACAAGTCAAATGAATTTCCTTCTACATCATACAAAGACTTCTTTCCAAAAGACTGTACATTTCTGTATGTATACATATATTTATGTTAATGCTTTTGCTCAGAGATTATCTTTCAAAATCATTTGACATTAGATAAAATATATAAAAAGATTTTTCCATTAAAGCTTTATAAGTTGTAAAGTTTAGTATTTTTATCAGATAAAGGTCCATGAATCCCTTAATAGATTATAACTAGATAAGTAAGAACTTAATTTGTTTTACAATTTTCGCCACATTTGTGTTTGTGTGGGGAAGATGGACATGGTCATGTTTGTCACCTGATGCAGAATTTGCAAATGGAAGCAAAATTTTTTTTTTTTTTTGGTACCAGGGATCGAACTCGGGTCCTTGCACTTGTGCAGCAGGCGGCGAAACCACTGAGCTAAATCCCCGGCCCTGGAAGCAAAATTTTGCCAAACACTTTTGTTTGCAAACAAAAGCTTTTGTGAACCGTGATATTACTGTATTTAGCTTAAGATATGTCTGCATATCATTTGTACAGTGAAATCTATCAAGTTGATTTCTTTAAAAATTGCAAGAGTATAAAAAGGTGTTGTAAGTATCTTTCAGTATTTGTTTTTTAAAATGCATAATAGCTCTCAAGTAGTAGAAAGTTTATAGGAATAAACTAAATTTTTCTGGCTTCCCTTTCACCATTTACCTCTAATTTCATTACACATTCCTCAGCATAGAGGAGTATTGTACAAAAGCAAATCTGACCTTCTGACACTTTGTCTTTGTTTATTTTTAGTAGGTAAAGTCTGCACCAAAACCTTCAACTACTAATTAAAGGAAAATTTCTTGAAAGTCTTAACCAAAGCCAAGAAGATAGTTCTAAAAAACAAAACAGCATCTTTAGAAGTAATGTTAAGTTGTTGCTTTAATTTTATTTTTCCTTTCAACTAAGTATTAAAATGACTCTAAAAATTCTTGAAATAAGGGAGTTATAAAAGTGTGAACTAATCTGTAATCCCAGCACTTTGAGATTTGAGAGGCTGATGCAGGGGGATCATACATTTGACCCTCCCTTGATTGCCCATTTCAGTAGTTCATAAACAGTTTTTTTTCCTAGAAATTATGACCACTTTCAAATGTACAGCATAAATTTTTTTGTACAGATGAAACTATTCGAACTCACTAAAATATAAGATTCTTTTTCAAATAAATTTCTACTCAATAAGCTCTCCCCTATCTTGTTTAGACAACTGTGTTTTAAACCTAAATATAAGCATCTCTTTTTGGTTTAAGTTCATTATATGGCTTATCAGGGTCTTTTTGACTTTACAGATTTCTTACGTGTGATGTTTTCTGTCTTTTCTAGCTTATCATCCTGTACAATAAGCTCCCTAATTTTTTTTAGTTTTTGTTCTGTTTTTTGGGTTTTGGTCGTACTGGGAATTGAACCCAGAGGCATCACTTGCTGTTCAGTAAGCAGCTCTACCACTGAGCTACATCCTCAGCCTGTTTTAAGGTAGGGTTTTGCAAAGTTATCCAAGGTAGCCTTGATTCTGCCTGCCTTAGCCTCCTAGATAACTGAGATTACAGATGTGCAACATCATGCCTAGCAAGATTGCTAGCCTTTATTTTCACTGAAAACAATATTGAATGGGGCATGATCAAAGACAGACTAACTACACCAGAGACCTCTTCTCATTATGCTTCAGACAGAATTGTTTCACCAACTATAAATTTATTTTCCTCTGGTTTTGTCCCACTTACATTTTCTTTTACAAGGCTGTCATTAGAAATCTATTGTAGTGTTCCATAACCTTATTAAACTTTATCAAAAAGGAAAATTCTCTTAATTTGGACTTTATTCACCATCTAGTATTGGCTTTTTAAATTCTAAGTCTTATGTTTGATGCTCTTTTTTAGAAACATTGAAGAGATCAATAGCTTTGAGTATTCTAAAATTCATGTCCACTTTTCAGAGTGAGCTACATTAATATTTCATGTTCCCTTTCCTCAAAAGCAAAAAAGGAACCCAAAGAAAACATAGCTGAAATGGAGGAAATTGAATAATGATATATGGAGAAAAGAATGGCACAGAATCTGATTTGAAATATAATTTGGTTAAGTCAAGTTGAAAAGGAGAATGAGACATTTGGTTTGCTATTTTACACACAGTACTACTAACTTGAAAGTGAGTAACCTACATCAAAACAAAGAACAATCCCAGGGGAGCCTAAGAGAATTTATTACAGTGAATTCTGAATGAAACAAAAAAATGGTAGATCTCAGACAAACAGAAGTGCTCAGAGTTCACTGTGTACTATAATACTTTATAAGAAAAAAAAAAAGGAAGTTGGCACCTAATAATAGGGAATAAGTAGTTTCAGGTACTGACTTTAAAAAATAAGGAAATACTGGATACTAAAATAAGTGAAAGAATAAAAGTAATTACTAAAATGGACTGGGCTAAGATAGGAATTAAACGGAAAAGTAGAACAAAAGATAGATTACAGAATCTGTTTCCTTTTGTAGTTTTTTAAGTTTACATAAAAATATATGTACTTTCTTATTTCACTCAGCATTGGTTTTTTAAGTCCAATTATTTTGCTCTGTTTAGAACTGTTACGTTTCATTTAACTCTAGTTTGATTTTCTATAATGTGAAAATACATTTTATTTATCTGTCCCTTTATGGATGGATATCTAGATGGTTTCAACTTTTTTTTTTAAAAAAAGGGCTCATTATGAAAGTCACCTCTTAAGGAGGTTAACATGTTCTCAAAGGGACTGTAATTCATATATCTCGCTGCCAGGCAGCTCTCATTTGAATTGAATTGATTGTTAAATGGCTTGTCCATGCATGACTGTCTGTCAAGAAGCTTGTCTCAGGGGGCCTTTGATTACAGTAATGCAGAGGTGTTGATTTAGCAGACTAGATGTCATCATATTACAGTTCTTTAAGGAAAACATTAAAATGATATAAAAAATTATACAGCTAATTTGTGGTGGAGCAGTTGTAAATGCATATTATATAGACTAACAATGGGGAACTTGTAAGATTTCCATGTTAAAATTTAGAGAATTAATTATTGATAGACTATTCATGAATATAAATTTCTTTTAATTAAATGTTTATGATAATTTTTAATTTGTATGAATTATTAATATTTGGACAGTAATCAAATTCAAACAACTAGATTCAG